TTATTTAAATCTGCAAGTGCTTCTTTATATTTTTTCAATCCTCGATAAGCTTCTCCACGAAAGCATAATGTAAATGCGTTATTTGGTTCAGTGTTTAATGACTTATTTAGATCTGCAAGTGCCTCTTCAAATTGCTTCATCGTGAGATAAGTTTTTCCACGAATTCTCAATGAAGATGCATTATTTGGTTCTTTTTCTAATGACTTAGTTAAATCTGCAAGTGCCTCTTCAAATTGCTTCATCTTAAGATATGTTAATCCGCGATAGGTTAATGTCTGTGCATTATTTGGCTCAATTTCCAATGATTTTGTTAAGTCTTCAAGGGATTTATAATATTCTTTTATAAAGAAATATGTAAAACCACGAAATCCCAAAGCTGTTGCATTGTTTGGATCAATATCTAATGATTTATTTAAATCTGCAAGTGCTTCTTTATATTTTTTCAATCCTCGATAAGCTTCTCCACGAAAGCATAATGTAAATGCATGATCTGGTTCAATACTTAGTGACTTATTTAAATCTGCAAACGCCTCTTCAAATTGCTTCATCGTGAGATAAGTTTTTCCACGAATTCTCAATAAAGATGCATTATTTGGTTTTTTTTCTAATGACTTAGTTAAATCTGCAAGTGCCTCTTCGAATTGCTTCATCGTGAGATAAGTTTCTCCACGAATTCTCAATAAAGATGCATTATTTGGTTTTTTTTCTAATGACTTAGTTAAATCTGAAAGTGCTTTTTCATGTCCCACAAGTGTAGATCCGCCATGGAAAACCGATTTCATTTGTATACTATCTAACTTATGCAAAATTACAGAGATTTCAGGACGTAGTTTTGGATCATCATTCCAAGCTTCACAATAAAGATTCACAAAGTCATTTGGTGTTCCGTTAATTGGAGACTCTCGTTTGTAATAAGTTACATGAAGAAATATTTGTTGAGTGGTCATATTTTTGAAAGGAGGTCTTCCACTTGACAATTGCCAAAAGAGCATGCCGAGACTATATATATCGGAGGGTTTATCTCGACTATACTCTGGATTTTTAAGAAATTCTGGGGCAGAATATGCAGCACGTCCACCATCAATAGATTTTGAATTATTTTCTAACGATTTAGATAAACCGAAATCCGTAATTATCATTCTACCATCATGTACCAATATGTTCTTATCATGCTATTTTATTAGGTCAAACTGGTATTAACTTATGCGAATAAAAGATGGCAAAGATAAAAATGAATAGATACAAAACTCTTACAAGGTCGCGATGAACAATATTTTCACTATGTAAGTAATTAATTCCTCTAGAAATTTCATTTGCCATTTTAATTTTAGTTGGCCAATCCAATTCAGAAAAACGGTTGTGTAAAAAGCCCCGAAGGTCTTCATTATTCGCAAATTGGAGAACCATATAATATTCTTGAGTGCCATCATCTACTTAGCATTACATTTCATGGATTAGATTTTATTGGAGTTTATTGGTATTTTGCACAATATTAATTCGCTGTAGTGGTAGGAATAATGAAATATGCCTCAGAGACGTGAACGTGAACTATCAGGGTGCATTTCTGTATTTCATTGTTTATCCACAGCAGGAATATATATATAAATTTTACAAGTTTTATCACTGATTCTATAAAGCATAAAATGTCAGAATAACTAGTGATGAGCATACTTGTACTACATAAAAAGCTGATGTGACATAATTTTGCCATGCAAGAGCGAAATCATGTGCATTTTTACCCATCTCTAGGAGAGTATTAGGGTAATCAGGATGTGTAGACTATGTATGCTCTATAGAATTAGCGATAAAAGCGATAAAATTTCAAATTTTAATTATAGAAAAAATATATATCATACCTTGAGTGATTCCATAAAATTTTATTATATTTTCATGATTGAATTTATTAATTTTTTTAACCTTAAAATATAACGTTTAGAATATTAATAGTACAATAGTTATCACGAATCATATTGTACATATTATAAATATGATCCATACTTCTCTAATAAAAGACTCTTTTTCGTTGCGAACTTTTTTCAAAGCAACAATTTCTTTTTTATCTTCTGAATAAGCACGAAATACATCGCCAAATCCTCCTGCACCTAGGAATTGTAACCCTCCAAAAGAACTATATTTAAATAATTTAATTTCTTCTTTTTCGATAAATTCTTTGATTTTTTCTAATACGGCCATTTTTGTTTACGGATATTTTTCAGTTTTCAGTTAACAGTTAACAAAAACTATACAAGTAAATCTCGATATAAGAAAGATGTAGAGACCAATAGTAAAATTTTACAAAACTTTCTTATACCGAGAGTTTATTAGTAACTTTCTTATATCGAGTGAATTTTATTATAGGTTAGTTTTGCCTTTTAACTTTCGAATTTTATTTAGTCTTTTAAATAAGTAGAAATAATTTTTCTTTTTTCCCTGATTGGGCCATACTATTGTACAGTACTGGACAGCATAAGACCATACATATATATGGAGCGGCAATTTTAATGCTTACGTAATCAATTCGGATTGGCCAATTTTGGTGTAGTTGATTCTGATTGGTTAATGGACCATATATCCTTATATATATATATATATATATATATCAAACGCAAATTTTTGAATCATTATAAGCTTTAACTCTTAATAACTTCTTTAAAACAAAAAATAACAAAAAATCCTCCGATAGAATTGTAGTTTAATTAAAAATCTATCAATTTGTCGAGTGGTTTTTTTATTTAACTTGTTTTAAGAAAGTTATAATGATTTAAAGATTTTATTAATAGAAGTAGATGCGTTATGCTGTCCGGTACTGTATAAAACAGACCTAACCGGTTTTTTTTTATACAGTTGGTTTTTTTATACGTACGTATTGTATGGGCGAAAATTTTTGATGAGAATATTATGATCATTAAATATTAAAGCGATACAATAGAATTACATATAAAATAAGTTATGAATTTGCTACCTTTAAACAACGAAAATACGTCATTATATCAAAATATTAATAAGCAAGGATGCAATGGACCAATCAAATAATTATATCAAATAATTATGATTTAATTTTATCATGTTTTTATAAAGCGGCTTCATATGCATAACAAAAAAAATTAATCAGCAAATCAAATACAGTCATTCAATTAATTTTTATTGTATTTTTATATTTTAATCCCGGTAAACGATTGGATCAAATTTTATGAACTATTATTATTAATTTGTAATCATCACTCAAATCAAAAAATTCCATATTTTGCGGAATAATATCATAACAACTTCCTGTTTAGTAAAATAGCATTCTAATGCATATAATCAGATAAATTAACTATTACTAATAATATTTCAATTCCAGTACCCCTTGGAACGTTATCTCCTCTGATCATAGAACCGTCCTAGTATCACAGTTATGCATTGGTGTTTGAAATTTAATTCAAGGTATACCGATCTTTTGCACATATTACGAAATTATTATGCAGCTATAAATTAGCAATATAAAAACCGGAGCTATAATTTATCTTGAGCTCTAAAACGTAATTGATCTTTAGGATGATACTTTGTTCGTCTGATCATAGTATCCTCTTCCTCTTAGCATTGTAACAGTGTTACGTTGAAAATCTAAAATCCGCAATATTGCAAGTAGGGATGGTAAAAAAACAATTTAAAAATGTTTTTTGTGTTTTTTAACTGAAACAAAAAAACGGTTTAAAACATTGACGGCT